GTGTATGGAATTATGACTGGGTCTTTAATTCTATTCCATTGGTAAACAGTAAGCTTTTAAATAGTATTTTAGAGTTATGTAGGATCTTGGACAATAAGGTACTTAAAATTTTGAGTGTGACTAACTTAGAATATTTCTTGAATAACACATGAACTCTATGAAGATTACACAATTCATTGTTGCTTGTCAGTCTTAATAATTGAGGTAAATAAAAAGACATGAGTTGTCTCTCTTCATTATCCCCAGTTAAAGGTGACTTATGCATGATGCCTTCCTCCAGCAACAGGCCCAACGAAATGACAGTAGAGTTAAACCATTTTGTTCAAGGAAAACGTGACAAATCCACCTGCCATTACACAGTTGTTTGTTTTTCTTTTCCTGACAATTTTGTGTGATTAAGAATGGGTTGCTTAAAATACATTTATTTTTACCCCATCAGCAATTTGGCTGTGTATGGCCAATATAATTAAGATGCATAATTGAACAACATTCATTTATTATAATCACATCAAGATTCACAGAGAAATGTTTTGTTGAGCGAGATTTTCATCATGACCTAACTCTCATTAGCCATCTCTCTGGTCTCCACTGCATATGACCAGCTGAGCTGCCCCTTGTCTCATTAACAGATGTGGGTACGTCATGAGAACCCTACTTCTCAACCTTGAGGCTCCACAGATTTGCAGTGGGGCTGGGTAATCAAAAAACAACACAGCGTTAGGGCTGGAGAGATGTCTTAGTCATTAAAGGCTGGATCACAACCAAAACAATGGTTTTCATTCATCTATTTGACCAATGTGAACGTACTTTTGTGCCCATCAGAAATGTTCAAGTCACTGCAGGCTTAAAAGTATAAAAAAAAAAAGTATGGGGCTGGATTGATGGCTCAGTGGTTAAGAGCACTGGATGTTCTTCCAGAGGATCGAGGTTCAATTCCCAGCACTCACATGGCTACTCACAACTATTTATAGCTCTAGTTCCAGGGGTCTGGCACCCTCACACAGACCTATACACAGTCAAAACACCAATACACATAAAGTAAAAACAAATAATTTTAAAAAGCTTTTTAAAAGAGTATAACAAAAGAATAAAGGCCTACTTTCCCTGTTCTAGCAATAGATAAAGCAGTTTGTTTCATAGATCCCCATAAGGTCATAGAATTTTTAAATTCTCTTTAATAGTGGGGGGCAGGGGCTAGTTACTTTAGCATTGTATTGCCCAAGCTGATTATTGCTGTAAGTGCTTACCTGACATTAGTGTTTAATGATCACATTTTTTTTTTCATCTTTGACTATTTACACCAACCAGTAGCTTTGCATACCAGTGTAGGGCAATAGTTTTCATAGGAGACAAATTGTCAGCTCAATAGACAGCCACAGATATTTGTTAGGATGATTTAAGCCTTCTAAAACAGAAGCTGTCCTGCAAAATAAATCATTTATTTCCTTTAATAATTCAATAAAACTGAATTATGTAAAGCACATAAGATTGAGTGTGAATCACATGACTGAAAAAACATGTGATAGATGATATTTTTTAACTGTGCTTTGTGCACTGAGTGAGTTGACATTTTGAAGATAGGTATATGTCCTTACTAAGAACACCAGCTTACTTCCGGCTAAGCTTTTTCACCAACAGAACAACCTTAAAATCATGACTGGATATTTTAGTTAGATTTTATCGTTTCTGCCTTTCATAAATGAAAAGACATGGATAAATTAACCTGAAGATTAAGATTCTTCTCAGGCCTGTGTCTTGACAGCTATCTAGGGCCTGCGTTAAAGAATATCTTGCTTGCTGGTGATGGAGCAGGCCCTGTCTACCAGTCTGCATATGGCTCTCACTGGCCACCTATCCACTGTGGAGCCTCTGTGCCCTGGCAGGAGTGCTCAGAGTTGGGGCGGGGTGTCATTGCTCCTCTCCCTCCAGCCAGAGCTTTGCTTGTCAGGCTTGCTGCACACTGTGATAGCTGGCTTGATGGGGATGAAGAAAGCCTGCTGCGGCTTTGAAACTTCTAAGTTCTACCATGTTTATCTGTGTGCTAATGAGTTTCAATGTGCACTGCAAACAAACAGAAAACAAAAACTGCTGCCCATCTTTCTCATACTTTGATGCCAACATACATTTGTATTACACTCTCAGATCGCCAATAAGTACTTGACATCTCACCTAAGCCTTCTGGTGCTGTTATTTCCTCCATTTTACACATATGGAAATGAACCCTGTTTACTTACAATATTATCTAGTTAGTAAAGAACATTGCCTTGGAATTTTGAAACAAGACTAATTTGGTTCCGATGTGCTTTGGTTGGCTTTAGATATAACCCCATGGAAAGACTGAAAATCTAGATGTGTGGGCACTATTTTTGTCGTAATAAGTAATTTCTTTGACTTCTCTAAGCTTCCATATCTCCCTGTAGTTCACAGTAGAGGCACCCAGTGTTTGAAATATCGAGTACAAGGCTCACTGCCTGGGAAGGACTCACTTCACTATGTCAATGAAAAGAAGCAATGAGAAATCTTTAGTATATTTAACTAGAATTTGAAAGGGTGAGGCAGGAGGATTGTGAGTTAGAGGCCAGTTTTTACTTTATTGAAATCTTAAAATTATAACCACAAAAGTTTCATCTTAATTATTCTTAGCTTAGTGTTCTGGGTGAACTTGTATCATCCCCATCAAATTCACTTGCTGAGCTTCTAACCCCTAGTTACCCTTAGTAAGTTCAGACATAAGGCCAAAGGAGAGGCGAATGGGATAAAATGAGGTCAGACAGGTGGTCTACCAAATCCAGTCTGATCAAAGTCTTCGCAGTCAATTAGGACACAGATGCACAGAGGAAGACCATGGGAAGACCGAGAAGACCACTGTTGACCAGCGGAAGAGTCCCCCAGAAGGAAGTAGCCCTGCCAGCCCTTTGCACGTGTATTTCTGGCTTCAGCAATGTACACAGATAAATTTCTGTCTTTGAAGCTGCTCTGTGTGTGGTAAAAAGCCCAATAAACTAACACAGGAGTACATGAGTGGTTGTTACTTCCTGAGAAGTTTTCCTCTTGAAAAATAAGAATTCTCCTTAACCACTTGTCACAAACCTGTAATCCCAGCTATTTGTGAGACTGAATCAAGAGGTTCACAAGCTCGAGACCTGTCTAGGCTATAGAGCAAGTTCAAGGACAACCTGGGCAACTTAGAAACTGTTTCAAAAGGGAAGGTAACAAAAGATCTGGAGACAGTTCAGTGACAGAATGCTTGCCTAGTGTGAGAGAGGACTAGGGTTCAGTCTCTGCCACTAAAAATAAATCATTTTTAAAAATTAAAAATCTAGACTGTAAAATCAAAGACAAAGCCTACAAGGATCAATTTGATATATTTCACTATTTTATTGTGCTAGAATCTTATCACCCCAATGGAATTTGACCAGGCCCATTAGTGAGGGGTCTGCCATGTTCTTCTGTTAAGCCACCATCTTTATGACAACAGTATCATGTCTTAAGGCTAATTGGAATAGCTTTCTAGGCTCCCTCACAGAGATTCTCTAGCATACTGTGAGAATTATAAGCCTTTTCAGATGCTTACTAAATTCACTGTGGATGGGGAAATGAGAAGAGATGGCAGTGCACACTGTTATGATGCTAACAGGGGAAATATGTGCAACTCTGAGGGGGAAAAAAAGCAAATCTCAAAGAGAAAAAAACTGAAGAATGAGTTAAACCTCATCTAAAGCATTCAAAGGAATTGTCTACAGTAAAGGACCCTATTACCTTCAATTTACTAAGTACTTTTCATGTGTATGTTCAGCACTGTGAGGGAAAACAGAGTTCGAAATTTATCTTTCCAAATACTTCTTAGTAAGATATGGGGGAAGGACACAGATGCAAGTAGCCATGACGTCATGTAGCCTTTGATAACATCTGTAATGAAACGAAAACGTAATAGAATCATAGAACACAGAGTGAGTCACTGTAGCTGGGGCACCAGAGGAGGCCTTTGGTGGGAGTGTCGTTTTCGTCAGTTCCGATGGTTGACAGGTGTGTTTGTACAGGGAGGGACTCTCAAGGCAGGTGGATTAATACAAGGGAAAAACAGATGTTGGAGAACACAAATCATGTTCCCCCAGGAAGCCCGAGTCTGTCCCTCTGATACGAGGAGATGCGATGAGAAGCTGGGCCTGCACTTGAAGGCAGAGAACCTGGTTTGTGTCTTATATTCACCATTTACTAGATTTATGACACCAGTCTTCCCAAGTCTCAAATTGCCCATCTGTGGCAATCTCCACATAACAGAGACTATTAGGCAATAAAATCTCGGTAACTGTTAGCTGAACCTAAATACTTCAGAACTGACTCTGTAGGGAACGGTAAATGAACACAACTTTGAGAAGCAAATAAGATAATGTTGAATGAATCAGAATGCAAGAAAAAAGATGTGAGTGACGTGTTTGCCACAGCACAACTTTGAGGCAGAGCTAGCCTGAAGCTGGGCTGTGCTGGCACGGGACAGACTTCCCTGGAAAACAAATGCAAAGTGGGTTGTGAAATATTGCTCAAAAGGATCCCCATCCCATGTTTCTTTCTTTATTAAGTAATGGCATATCTTCTATGGAGCTACTTCTGTGGGTTCTCAGTTTGCAGATCTATCGAACAAAGACTGAAAATCCTAAGTATCTCTAGAGTTCTGCAATATTCCATGGATCTTAACATCAGTAAGTCTTGTTTACCTGCTTAGATGAATATAAGTAAAGTGATGGATATAAAAGAGAGAGAAAAATTGAAAATAAAATGAAGAGGAAGTTCCACACACTAATTAGTGGAACAGGAGATGATATCATTGCTAACAATATGAAAGAAACAAAAGAACAGTTTGGGGGAGATTTCGGTGGAGAAGATTAAGGATGTTTCTAAAGGTTGAAAGGCTATCCTTCACTTAGATGTGTGATCTTATGTGCATTGTATTATATACCAGGTCAACACATGACTTGACAACAAACATGTTTTCTCTACAGATTCTTTTCATTGGCGATTCCACCAACAGAGGAATGATGTACTATCTTATTGAGAGACTGAACGAAACCCTGCAAGAGTGGCAGAAGGTGCATGGCACTAAACTGTATCCCGGTGTCAATGGGGGGAAGACTTTGATCAGCTACTCCTACTACCCCCAGTTCTGGATAAACCCTTCACTGAGACCAACATTTGAGAAAGCGCTTGAGCATCTCTTGCAAAGGTACAATAGCGCTACTATGCATGGCAAAATGCCACCATTGTGTAGTCGTAATTGCGCGCTGTATATCAAATGTGCTGAAAAGCTTAGATATCCGCTAATGTGGCTGAAAACGAGCTGCAAATGACAAGGAAGCCTTGTGATCAGGAAGCCAGGCATGGTTCATTGAAATGTAAGGCAATCCGGTTAAAATGTTTACCATCTGTTCTAAAGCAACACGTGTTGTTTTTTCTTTCTGGATTTCAGATCACATCCCCTAGAGAATACTGACCGGACAGTATTGGTTGTTGGTGGTGTTCAGTGGCTCAATTCCAATCACCTGCAAATCATTCACAAGGTTTTAAAGAGGTAACTGTAGCCACCATCATCCATGTCTTCTTCTTTTGTTTGAAAGTACCGTATAGTTAACCAAACTTCATCCAGGGCTTATTTAGAGGGCAGATGTAGAATTGAAAATTAGAAATTTAAAGGCAAATCTTATATTTCAAAATAATTTTATATTCAATCAGGGATGCTTAGCATCCTAATTTAAAATGACTCCAGATCAAAACCTATGTACTAGTCAGGTGTGGTAGTACATACCTGTAATTCAAATGTTTAGGAGGCTAATGTAAGAGGGTAAAGAATTCATATTCAGCACTGACTATAGACTAAGACCTTGTCTCAGAACAAACATATGCATATATTGAAAGTAATAAGAACAATGCCTAATACAGTCTCATTGTTATATAAGTGACTCAGATGAAACAAGGTGATTAATATATTTAAGACATTATTATTTATCATTATTATTGAATAATGTCTATTAACATGCAAAATTCTATCTACAGAAAGTCTTAATATATGACAAGTAAATACAATAGGCGTTTCATCCTATATGCAAATGATCACATTCTAAATTGATTCTACCATATATATTTTTATAAAAAACGAATGCATAGAAACGCAACTGAAGTTTTTTACTTTAAAATTCTGATCATTTCCTTCAGGGAAAACTTGCTCAATATCCTAGTGGTCATCAAAACTCTGGGGATTGGATTTCATCTGCCAGTGGACGGGGTGCATTTCCTAACCCAGGTAAGCCATTTCTCCCAGGCTGCATGAACTGATGAATCCCTGAGAGGACATGCAGAATGCCAAGAGGCCTTCTACCATACTCGCGAGCCTTCATACAAATAAAAATCGTATGCTTAGGAAATATGATTACAAATTTATCCTAACAGTTCCTGCAGACCCGGAGACCATAGTTCATTCATGTGCTATAAATAATACCCCGAGTTCAAGGGAAAAAAAATAAACAGCTATGGGAAATAGCACTAGACTCACAAACAAGAGAACTTGTGTGTTCACCTTTGGTGTTTATAATAAGAGACTTCTCTTCAGATCCACGCTGAAACCACAAATGAAATTGTCAATATCAGTGAATCTTTTCGGAAACAGTATCTGATGATACATGTATATGAGTGATATAACCGTTTTTACATCAGTTGGATATTCACAAATGAAAGGTATTAGATGCCTCTGGTCACGTTTTTTTTGTTTGTTTGTTTGCTTGCTTGCTTTTTTAGAGACAGGTTTTCTCTGTGTAACTTTGGAGGCTGTCCTGGAACTTGCTCTGTAGACCAAGCCAGCCTCGAACTCACAGAGATCCTCCTGCCTCTGCCTCCTGAATGTTGGGATTAAAGGCGTGCACCACCACTACCCTGCACTGGCCAGTCCTTAAAGACAGTAAATTTGTCTCACCACTAAGTATGAAAATTAGAACAGAAAATAACGACACCTGTAGGTTAGAGAACCTTACTCCAGCACAGAGACTAGCCAAGTTGATAAGCAAGTGCAGAGTCGTGATTCAGGGCAGACTGTCCATTTAATACGTAACGAGGTTAAGATTGCCTTTCATTGCCCTGGCAGTAGTGGCACCCATGCCTTTAGTTCCAGCACTCGGGGAGACAGAGGCAGGCAGATCTTTGTGAGTTCAAGGCCATCCTGGTCTACAAGAACTAGTTCCAGGACAGCTAAGGCTGTTTTACAGAGAACAAAAGAAACAAACAAACGAAAACATTGCCTTTTGTCTCTGTTATGGAGCCGCTCTAGCTTCTTCAAGCAGGGAGTGGGATTCCCCCGCCCCCTTTACTGGAAACTTTGCCTTCCTGAATGCCAGTTATCTACAACACAGAAGAGCTGTGTTCAAAACTCCAAATTCATCACAGTGAGGCCGCCTTGGCTTTGGTTAACTTAAAGTAAGTTGGGACATCAACCTCTAGGGAACAGAAAGATTTAGGACAACTGGGAATCGGGGTGGGGGGGGCTCGATAGTTTTTGCGGTGAATTAGGAGCTGGAATCATTTTAGTATCATTCAAATGCTTCCAGTCAAGGCTGAGATTCATTCCTGACACTCGGGAGCACCACATATTTCTGTTCTTACAGTGCTCCTCCCAGCATCCGATACTTGTGACCCTCGCTTACATCTAGGTTGTTAGCTTCCCAGCATTTGTCTCCTGCATTTGCTGTATTATAGATCCTGTGTTAAGATTTCACCTGCCCCAGAGCTGTGGTGTAGCTCATCAGTCTTTATAAACGGAGTGAGGACAAAAGGTGGGGAAAAGAGAGGCAAAGAATAGAAAGGGAAAAGCGACCACAGCAAGGGAAGACAGCGCATTGTTCACGCTCATAGCTGTCCAAGAGGGGCCTTTGACCTTCTTTGTAGACTCATCCCTTCTCACCAGGACATGGATATATATGTAAATGAGGACAGGGTTGTATACACACACACACACACACACACACACACACACACCATACATGCGTGCATGCCATTCTCTTAGTGACTCCTAAACCTTAAGATCAATGTTTCCCCTTCATGGATCAAATTCTCGCCCACCTCCTCACCCTGGTAACTTCCTCAGACCCATCAAGTATTAACTTAAGTGTCATTTTTCCTGGGACTGCCTCGTTAAGAGGTCTTTCTATTCACTGACTTTATCTTAAAGAAAACACTCTTCTTCGGGTGCATGTAAGCCTCGCAGAGACAACAGAAGAAAAAAATTTGACGTGTACCACTTCTTTTATCTTGCTCTTGGCTTAGCAAATGAAAGCAATTGTTTGCCTTTTTCTAATGAAGAAAACATCAGACATTCCTATTACCTTTCATAAATGGGGAAGAGTGATTCCTTCCCTGTGTTAGCTGGGAGGGTCTTCTAAGATCCTCTTCACAAAAGGCTTGACGGAATGAAAGGATGTGCTGAGGAAATGCATTGAAATGGTAAAAAGGAGGTAAGCGTTAAGAGCAGGCTGGAAGCGTTCGCAATGCAGTCCGATGAATGTCATTCGGTTTTTACCGCTCATCTACTGAGTGGTCAATGTCCTGACGGTTGTATTTGACGCGGCCTCTGATGGGAAAGGAGAGCAGGCAGGCTGCACTGGGGAGGTGGGGGGGGGGGGGATCGGATTGAAGGCTGCTTTGAGAAACTTAACCAGGCCAGGGGAAGATCTGGGAGACAGAACAATTGGTGATGCTGTCCCTCCCTGACAGAGTGAACCTGAGCTAGAACTTAGCTAGATTCAGTCATTGCCAGCAACACAGCAGGCAAGGTGGGAGGGTGGGAGGAATATGATCCAGAGAGGAAATACATGGAACCCCTGCCCAATTTGGCCGCTTTCCTCAAAGCATACTCCTCCTCCATGTCCAAGTTTTGAGTAAACCTCACTCAGAAATATTCTGGAATCTTCTGTGCCATGGTCCACTTGCTCCCCTTCTCCTGGCAGTTATTCCTTCTGGCATATTTTTCCCTACTAAAGGACTTACTAATTATGGGTATACCCACTTCTCCATTCAGACTGCTGAGTTTTCCAAGCACAGATCACGCACTATGTACCCTTCCATTCTGTCCCTTAGCGAGAGGCTAAGCAAAACTCGGGGGCCAGTTAATATTCAAGGGTGTTAATTAAATAAAAACCCAGAAAATGGAGGTCTACTTTGTGGTAGGTAAAACACCACTTTTCAATTTGAGAATTTTTAAATACATTTACAAGCAATAAACATAATTGTTTTCAGGTAAGGAAGACATTCATTTATTATTGTGTCATATATACATAGCAGTTATGCTTGTGTTTTAAGAAAAAAGGACATATGTTATTTTAAAAATTGATATGGAATGTATCTCTCCATATAACCAATCTCGGTAAAAGAAGGTGAAATTTATATAATGTCTGAGTTACTAAATCACAAAATAATCGTTTGTTAATCAAAATCCTATGTCTCTTGCTTGACAATACAGAGTGAAGTACGAAACTTATATAAAGAAAATCAGAACATTCTGGAAGCTGCCAAAAACTATGGCTATGAAGTAGTAGACACGTTCACTATCACGATGGGACGACACAAGGAATTCCTGCAGGGCAATTGTGGATGCCATTTCCATGAGGTATTTGTAACAGAGTTCAGAGTTTTGTAGTTTGGGGTTGCTGGGTTTAGTTTTGTTGTTTTGGTCTTATACCTTTCATGTATTTTACATGAGAAAAAAAATATGTCAAAAGTTGCTATGACTATCCGCTTTGTGAAATGAAGCACTAGACGTTAGTGTTCAGATATGGTAAACCCAGAATCTTGGGTGGCTGCAGCCGGAAAGACGTGGAAGTCAAAGAGGGCTGGCTTCTCCAACAGACTTCACGTGTCCCTTCCACCAGAAACCACACTGAGTTTATTAAGATCGCCTTCAGAAACATCAGGGAAAGGTTAGTCACAGGAAGTTGTGGTTCGAAGGTATCTACATGGCTGAAAAGTTCAACCCGGGGCGATAAACCACAGAAGCGGCATTCCCAGAGTCCCTTGCTCAACGGACTGGCAGCTCTACCAGAGTTCCCTCTTCCCAGCAGTTGTCACTGCTGAATATAACCTCCCGGACTGGGGCTTGAGAATCCGGAGGCTTCCTTGTGTTAGCTCCGTGGATGCGTGCTACTCAAATGAAGAGTTCCCCAGTTTACCTTCCCAGTAGATCTTGATTCGCTCCACCTCTGCTTTCTTGGTGTCCTCTTACAACCCATGAACACATTTAGTCAGTTGGCTAGTGAGATAGAGCTGCAGTTTGTGTCTGATCCTGTTTATTTATCTAGCTGTCTTCATTCCTCTTGGTCCCCAGCTCCTCACTGGTACACCAAAGTCATTAAAACAGTGGTGTTCTCTATGCTCTGCTGAGAAATTCACTTTACTTCTCTCTCTCTCTCTCTCTCTCTCTCTCTCTCTCTCTCTCTCTCTCTCTCTCTCTCCCCCCCCCCCCCCCTCCCTCCCTCCCTCCCTCCCTTCCTCTTAACCTCTCTCCTTCCTTCCTTTTTTTTTTTTTTTTTTGCTTGTTGGGGGGGGGGGGGAAATGCTCAAGACAGAGTTTCTCTGTGTATCGGTGTCTGTCCTAGAACTTACTCTGTAAAGCAGATTAGCCTCGAACTCACAGAAATCTGCCTGCCTCTGCCTCCCAGGCACTGGGATTAAAGGCGTGCACCACCGCCACCTGGCCACATCATCTTTTTATGTGACCAGTGACAGTAACTCTCTGAGAAGTGAGAGCCAGAAGCCATAGTGGAGAGTTTCTGAACAACCATCCTGAAACTTGGCCATGTTTCATCATAGCAGATGTTAAGTTGTAGTGTACTGTTCACTAATCTCTTCCATAAGAAATATACCACCGTAGACTGCTTGTTCTATTTTAGAAAACTCCATGCTTAGAAATACAAGCTCAGATAGTTCAGGAGAGAAAAAAATCAAAAATGGAAAAAAACAAACAAACAAAAAAAAAACAGTGAACTATCCCAGGATCATCGTGGGTCACAAAAGAAAGCCAATTGTCACAGAAAATTGGCACTTTAAAAAACAGCATGCATTTTTTAATCTCTTTTAGAAAATGTTTACTTATTTGTGTTTATATAATATGTCTTCAATTAGTACTCTGGAGGAAGGGTGTGTGCTTCTCTCTTTCAGCATCAGGCTCCGACAGACTGAAAAGGAAATGTCTTCCAAAGGCTTGGAGCACAATTCCAATTAAAGCCAGCGGATGTCCTTCCCACATGATCATTATTACATGTGTCTGCTGTCACAATGTCAGTGGGTTTATACTAATAGTCCTGGAATTTGAAAACCACACACACACACACACACACACAAAGAGTCTTTGAACCACTAGCAGTAAAATACTGATTTAGAATTACTTCTAGCAAAAGCTATCTTTAACTTACAAGAGAAGATTTAAGCATGGCAGGTAAAATATTTCACGTAGGAGATTATAAAATGTTCCTATAGCAATCATACACAGACGACTTTCTGTTGACTTTCTTCCTCATGTACACTGTTTGGACGACAAACCCTGTGCGTCTCCCACCAATGAAGTCAGCTGATTCCTGAGTGCCGAAATCCATGCTCAATCTCCCATGATTTCATTGAAGATGGCTTCCAGGAGCATTTGTCATTTTTGATACAATATGGAGTTGATGAGGTCAGCTTTCCAACTGACCCTCTTCCTAGGGTCTCCAAACTCAGTCATTGATCATCACCACTCCTTATCAGAAGTTTGAGCACTTGTATCTCACTCGGGCCATCTCTCATGATGATGCTGACATTTTATAATATTTCTAAGGTTCCACATAGCAGAATATTAACATTCTCCTGATTCTCATCTTTTGCTTCATGTTTATTTTATAAGATTAGCCAAAAAAGAGGGATTCACCTTAAAATAATAGCAAAAAAGAAGAAATGGTAGTATTAGAACCTTAAGAATTTTAGCGCAAGAATTTTATCCTCTGGTGTTCAATTAAACTATGTCCACATACACTCAAGAATACTTGCAAGGAGTTGGTATCATTATTTCAGTGAGACCTTGCCATCTCATCGCTCTGTGGTCAGGATTCTACTGCAGACATAGCAAGCCTGCTTCTGGGAACTTGTCACAGGTGAAACTGCAGTTTAGAAAGCCTCTTCGGTCTGTCAAAAGATCGAAAAAGAACAGGCTGTGGCTGTGAATCTAGAAGCTGTCTCCAAACGGTGCACATGCATCTTGACAAAAACTCCTCCCTGATTAGCAAAGCAGGCGTTTCTTTTGATGGGCGGAAATGGAACCTTATTTTCCCCATGTTTATTCAGGACAACAAACTGGATCCTGGGCACTCTTACCCAACAGAGGTTTCTGATGGTGCCTTTCATTGTGTGGCAAACATCTACTGTGAGAGAAGCAGAGACCTGGAAACTATTTGGTAATATCAGCCCAAATCTAGCTACAGAAAGGGCAAAGCCACAACAGTCGCTGGGTGGTTTCTAATCAGCCCATTCAGCTGTGTAGGCCTTAGGTAATAGCAGACTTTAATGTCTGGCAAATGTGACTGTAACTTTTTACTCCGGCGACAGAGAGAGCATATGGCATTAAGACCCAACAGGTTGCCTTGGTATGCAGACATGGAAAGAAAAGAGGAAGGAGGTTCAGTTCTCTGTTAGGGATGGTTTTTCCACAATTCTTTAGTCTCAGTATTTGAGCTAATTAAATAAACAACGTGATGGAGCTTAAAAATCATGTTTTTCTCTTACTCCTTTCCATTTCAAAAATTCAGTGTCTGAATACTACAAGGCCTGAAAACAAATAAAATACCTTTGGACTGAAGATGTAGCTCAGCGATAGGACCATTGGCACTTGCCTAGTGTATATGAATCCCTAGCTTCAATCCCCAGCACCAAACATACACACACACATACACGCACACACACATTCACATACATACAAACACAAATACAAACATACACACCCATACACACATACAATCCTTAACTTCATCAGTCTAAAACTGAAAGAAAAAAAAGAACAAAGTGAATATATAACTGAAAATCTCAGAATTCAACTATTAGCGTGGATTTGCTTTTTGTAATTTCTAAAACTTTTAAAAACTAAACATAATTGCATCATTTCTCCATCCCTCCCCTCTTTCCCACCCTTCTCCTTCCTACATTCCCCCTCATTCACTTTCAAATTCACAGCTCCCCCAACCCCAATTAGTATTATCATGTATACACAAATGCATACATATATAAATGCAGCCTGTTGAGTCTGTTTAGAGTTTTTTGTATATCCATGACTCCAGGGATGACTACATGATTATTAGAAGAACGATTAGGGGCTCATCCCTAGGGAATACTAATTCATTCTCTCTCTCTCTCTCTCTTCTCTCTCTCTCTCTCTCTCTCTCTCTCTCTCTCTCTCTCTCTTTCTCTCTCTCCAGTCATTAGCTGCCTGTAGCTCTTTGTCTAGGGATGGACCCTTGAGATTTCCTCCCTCCTCTTTAGCATGCCTCTTGGTGCTGTTGTCACCATCCAGGTCTTCTTTAAGTAGCCATGTTGTTGAGGTATACATTCTGCCACTTCTCAGAGACACAATCACATACTTGGCTTCCTGGTCCTCTGGCCCCACTTCCATAATCTTCCCTGAGGCTTAGGTGTGGGGTTATGCTGTAAATATATCCATTTGGGATGGATGCCCCATGATTAACTGTTCTCTGCATTTTGACCATTGAGACTTTCTGTGATGAGAAAGGGAATCTTCCTGTCTACTGCTAAGAGAAGTTTCTTTGATGCATGATGAGAGTTAAACTTATCTGTGAGTACAAGAAAGAGTATTTAGGCTGGCTTCTTAAGGTCGCTGTTGTAAGCTCTCCTCTGAGATCAATAGCTTCACTATCCCTGGGTAATTGGCTAACTTTCCAGTAACATGCACGATTTCACTCCTCTGGGCCTTAAGTCCAATCAGACAGGTGTTGGTTACCACCTAGATATCAGTGCCGTTATTGCACCTTTATGGCTATCTTACCAAAGCATGAGTTTTTGTAATAAATTACTATGACAGATTTCTTAGAAAGTGTTTTTAAGCACTCTAAAACCTCTACTACTGTTGGGAAATCAGCTAGACTGCAAGAAGTACCTAAAAAGCCATATGTCCCCAAGGCCAGACTCAAATCCCCTTTAACCTTTGTTTTCACTAGTATGCCCCGTACTGCCACGTTCAAACTGAAGCTTTCTGCTTATCCTTCCTTACCAGCTAGCAGCCCAATCAAGCCAGTTACCTAGCCCTGTTTACACTTGAATACTCTCCTAAGCCTTTGCCCTGCATCCTGTTCCAAATACATCAGCCTTGTTTATTCTTTCATGCAGTCATCCAGCATTTGTTTAGTGGGTCCACCTCTTGAGCTAAACAGTAGAAAGTAAAAACAAATAAGGCACATTTGTTCCCTGGCCTGAAGATATGGCTAAGACATAAGTTATAAAAACCTGTATGACACGGTATGTAGAGTAGCATGTTAGAGATACACAGAAGCTATAGTGGTTTTATATATA